GTATGTATATGTGTGTGTTTGTGTATGTGTGTGTTTGTAAGTGTGTGTATGTATGTATATGTGTGTGTTTGTGTATGTGTGTGTTTGTAAGTGTGCTTGTGTATGTGTGTGTGTATGTAAGTGTAAGTGTGTTTGTGCCTGCGTGTGAGAGTGTGTCTCACCTTACTCACAACCTCGTTCCCCAACACACAGATTCCACTTGCACCCAAGGACCACCCTACGCCACACCCAGCTTACAGCCGCGCAACTCAGCTATGGCTGCCTGCTCCTTCGTGCTCGCCTGTGAGCGTGTGAGTGGCACGAGCTACAGCGCGGCAGCGCTTACGCAGCATGCAGCCAGCACCCGAATGGCCAATGTGGAGGCAGGCCCTTTGCTATATCGAAGTGGTCTGCCTGTGTTCAGTCCCAGGAAGCTTCCAGTAGGCCCCGGTAGTCCGAGGCACAGCACGAACGAGAACAGGCCTTGGGCCTGAGGTGGTTGCATGCCCCCAACTGCCTTTGGGATGTGTTTGGCCCAGTACCTGTATCCAGCCCAGGGCCTGTTTTCCATACATTCACACAGGCGGCCCAGGACCTGGGTTTCCTCAACCAACGGACGCCAGACTCATGCAACCTGCTACAGGCCCAATTTTGTGTGTGTGTGTGTCTTTCTTCCTTTTTTTAATTTGCTTTTTATGGTTTTGATTTTTTTTTAAATACACGAAGTTTCAAAAAAATAAAATAAAACATAAATTGTTGTACATCTTTGAAAGATCTACAACCCTATATTTTTTATTTGTTTTTTCTGTTTTCGTTTTCGCCCTTAAAAAATTTGTGTGAAACCCAAAACAAAAACACTCATTTCATCTTAGTTTTTGTTTTTTCATTGTGTGTTTATGTTTTTGATTTTTTAAAAATAGATTAAAACCTTAAAAAATAGAAATCAAAATACAAGGTTGTAGTTCTCAACAAAATCTACAACCCCATATTTTTTTATTTTTTTTTGTATAATTTTTAGCCCGGGAAAAAAATCATCCCGTACCCCGTTAATTCCCGTCCAACTCGCATTTGAGCGGGAGTTTTACGCGAATTCAATGCGCGTTGACTTTTTCAACGCGAAACCCGCGTTAAATTCAGTTTCGGACACACAGCCCACTGCTACATAACGCTAAAAATGTTCCGCGTGTTCTGGCAGCTGATCGAGTTTTGGGTCTCCAAAAGGAGATTGCTCTTGGTTTCGAGAGTTGGAAAAATTGTCGGGAGAAACCCCCTTTGGTTGAGCCTGATAAGCTCCTTGCATTTTTTTCTGAAAGATTGAACAAGCCGAATTCTTTTTTATCGTATAATCAGGTCCGCGAGATTAAGACCAGATTCGAGGGTTTGGTTCCGACGCCCTTGGACAGGAACCCAGGGGAGACTTTAGTCATGTGCCCTGTTGTTTGCTTTGAAGCAATGATGTCAACCTTTGTTCAGAATCCCGGGTACAGAATTGTACCATCTACTGAAGGGCAGATCTTGAGCGGAATCAGGGAGGACGTGATTGCAATTGATTTGGGTAAGTTTGCTAAGTGGGATAAGTCAGGGAGTTTTTGATCAGCCTTTATCATGCCCAAGCATAAGGATTTTGGAAGATTTAGGCCGATATGCCCGACCTCTAACGACCCTATGATTCGAACGGGTAGGCTAGTGTCCAAGGCTTGGAATCACCTGTTGTTGACGGTTCGAACTGGATGGCACTTTAATCTTCCTTCTATGTCTATGCTGTCGAAATGTTTGGACGACACGAACAAGGCTATTCTGAGGATGGGACAGGGATATGAGGTATCCACCCAATCATTCGATACCAAAGAGATATTCAGTCGTCTTCCCCATAACGATATCTTGCGAGCTGTCGAATGGATTATTTATTTTCAACATTCCAAGAACCACAATTTTGTCAGAGTCAATACTAGAGGGAAGGGTGCTTCTTTCGGCTTATCGACGGGTTGTGACCACTGGAGAAAACTGGAGTTATCCGATATTTTGGCTTTCATCAAGCTGGAATTGCAGCACACATATACTTTCACCACCAACGTGCTGCTACAACCAATGGGGAAGTCCACAAGTCCCCAAGTTGTCAGGTTATTCGCATTGACATCTAATCATCTACTTAAAAGATACCGCACCAGGAGGCCGGTATATGCACAACGACATCTGACCGTCTACATGGCCTAAGCGTCCACTGCAACCCTCCGGCTGCTTAGCCAAGAGAATAACCCGAAAACAAACGAAGGCAGCACAACGCTGCGACATTCACACCGGGAAAACCAAAAACACAACAAAGGCACCACAATCCTGTACAATCCTCCGCCTCAGCATAACCACACTTGAGCCGGAGCCAGCGGACTCTAGAAAAAGTCGGAATAGATTCGCACTTATGTTGAAGGTCTTGCGAATAAACACAAGCGTATTCTTTTAATATCATTTTGAGCCCTGGGTTATATTCACCGCTATCCTCCGCCTGATAGGAATGTCGCTTTAGCCGATCGAAAATGTAGGTGAATGACCGCGTGCCAAAAAAGAAGCGAAGGCGAGCATGAACACACCGCTGCTCGACCCGTCCGACTGTTGAGGGACACCATGAACAACCACCTCGGACTCCGGGAGTTTCAGTTTCGAATGTTGACCAAATTGACGAACCACTTCGTCTCGGAGGTATTTCGTGAAGTTCGCAATCACTTTGGAAGAAAAGTCGTCATCTTCTTGCAGGAGAGAGTCGTAGTACTCCAGTCGTCCGGCGCTTGGTGTAGAAAAAAGGACTGAAAATATAAACAGTTGGACACCCCGGGAACGTAGCTTTGCCAACCAAGGCCAAGTAGGACTCCAACACCTCATCGCAAAGCCATCCCCCCTGGACAAGAGTCTGAAGATTTTTTCTGCTCAACGGAATAGAAGCAGTCCCTTTGCGAATCGTGGAAACGACCTCATGGCCGTCGCTGAAATCTCCACAGACGTCATGCAGCATTCTCAAGTCCGCACCCCTAAGCTCCTGAGTAGGCAACGACAAGCGAAAAGATGATGTTGCCGCAGCTGTACAAACACCCAAGAAAAAGTATGAGGAGTCGTGAAAACCACCGGGGCGAAGTGGTCAGGAACTGTGGGCCCGTTTTCTAGAAAAATTGTAAACCCGATTGTTGAATGTGTTCTTGGCGATGTACTTAGGACACTGATCTTTGGCGGAACCCCGTCTGGCATCATCATCAGACCCGTAGGACAAAGAAGTAAAGCTTTCGATAGACGCATCGACATATTTCTGCAAAGCTTCCTCCTTATCTAATCCACAAGCCTTCAGAACCGTGAGAGCTCTCCCGGAAAGGCGAGGCATCTGGACCCTTTTAAACAACCTTACACTTGACGAGGACTTCTTCGTTAAAGCGACCAATGACCTCCCCGGGAACGATTTTCCACGCATGGCTTGTGAAGGCTTCAGGGGCAGGGACATCGACAACCTCACACCTGTATACATGGAAAACAACCCACAACCCAAAACCTTTATTCAACAAGTGGTAATAGCCACATGAGACCATGATTCGAATCTGGATGACCACAGAGCTGAACAGCTACAGATGCGCGAGCGCTACTGTTCAAAAATCTTACCATGTTCGGGAGTCCTTCGACGTGAACCGGCCTTCTATCGTGCAACTGTCGCAACGTCTGTGGAGTTCCTAACCAGCTCAATGGCAGCCGAGTCGCTATCCAACTCCACGGTTTCGTGAAGCACCGCCTCCTGACCGGAACTGTGGGCAGTCGCTTGATCACCTTGTTCCTCACCTCAGCGGGTGGAAGGAGAATCACGACCTTCGCGCTCCGAACCCATCCAAACGGAAACTGGCATCTCAGCGTGGAAAAGCTGAGTTTCCCCCGCGGGTTTCTCACCCTCATCATCGTCGTGAAGCCGAGCCGACACCTCACCGACAGAAAGTTGAGCTTCCCCCACGGTTTCTTCGCCTTCCTCATCGTAGTGAGAGCGAGTTTCCACCATGGGTTCTTCTTCGACCACCTCATCCCCACGCTCTTTGCCTTCCACAGATGTCCATTGACATCCCTCAACGCCACCCTCTTGCGTGGTCTGGGGCGCCCCAGTGTGCGAAACCCCGTTGGTGTCCCCGATGCTGAAGGTACTTGCCGACGAGCCTTGGAGAAGCTCTTCACCCCGCTGCACAACATGCATCTCCTCTGAAGCACGACCTTCCCACCCGCTAGCCCCTTTCTCCAAAACTCCTGCAGCGGGCCCCTCAACATCACGACACAAAGTCCTCGAAGACAAGTGCGAATCTACTCGCACTTGACAAGACCGCAGGGCAGCGTCGCCTCGCGTGTCGGAAGCTGGACTCCCTTTGCAGCGGCTTCCAGTGCCGCCCAACCCCTTTCCCCCCGAACCCTCTTCGCCGGACCCTTTACCGCCGGAGCCGTCTAATTCTCCCGCATTTGATCGTTTCTCTCCAGAAGCCTCACCGGCCGACCCCTCATCCCGCAGCACACCATGCTTTTCCTGTGAGAGCCCCTCTTACACCAAAACCACTGTGCTCTTCCTCTCAAAATCGGTGGACGCACCATCTGAAGCATGACACTGACGCTCGCCATCGTCGGTCTCCACCACTCCTGCACCGAGCCCCTCCTGCACTTTGTGAGGCGGCCAGTGTTGAGTCTCCTCTCCCAATGCACAACATGCGCCTCCTGTGAGAGCTTCCCTTCCCCCGGACGTGTTGTACTCTTCCTTTCCAAGTCGACGGACGCACCCTCCAGAGGACCACTTGGATGATCGCTGGCCGCGGTCTCCAACACTCCTGCGTCGAGACCGTCCACCACTCTGCGACGTGGCCAGTGTTGAGTTTCCTCTTCCCAGCGCACAACATGCGCTTCCTGTGGCAGCCCCTCTTCCCCCGGATTGGCTGTACTCTTGCCCCTAAGATCGGAGGACGCACCCTCCGAAGCACTCCAAGCATACTCGCTATCCCCGGTTTCCAAGACTCCTGCAGCGGGCCCTTCCAGCACTTTGGAAGACGGTCCGTCCCGAGTCTGGGCCTGAGAGAACGGTGGCGAGCAGGGAAAAACTGTGTCCAACTCAAGACCGGGGACCCAAACCTCCCCATTTCTTTGCCCCGCAGTACTGTAACGCCAGGCGCACTGGTGGCGGACCTTAGGAACTGCGAATGTATTCGGACTTCGCCGCGCTCCTCGTCTTCGGGAAACAAAGTCCTCGCAGACAAGCGCAAATCTACTTGCACTCGACAAGACACCAGGGCGATCTTGTCTCGGATCTCGGAGTCTCGCCTCCCATCGAAGTGGCTCTCGGTTCCCCTAGACTTGTGTGTAGTGTACGCTCTATGCTTTCAGCGTGGCCTTGTTCCGCCCGACCCCTTTCCGCCCGAACCCTTTCCGCCCGACCCCGTTTCGCTCGACCCTTTTCCGTCGGACCGTTGTCCGCTAGATCCCTTTGCTTCCGGCGTCGTTTCAACTCCGGGTCTCGGGCCGTCTCCTCCGTCACCGCCACCACCGGGTTCTGAGCCGTCTCCTCCGTCACCTCGTCCGCCGCCTCCCGGAGGCTGCGGCATGTGCCAATCAATGCCGCGAGACAGTGTCGTGTCGAGTGCATAGAAAGGTGCTCTAAACTCCAACATTTTGTTCACGTACAGCTCGTCGAGCTTTTCGGCTGCGCACGATGCGACGTCCTGTGGGCTCCTTTCCGGGTTCAGTACACTCAAATGCTCCACCAGAGCTTCTCTGGTCTTTCTCTTAAATGGTTCCGCGCCCAGTCTGCTGAGACCGCTCCACATGTCGTCGGCTTCCTTTGTTGCCATGACCCACTTTCTAGTCATAACAGCAGGTTGAAATATCCTTGGGTGCCAAATGGCGTTGTGGCCCCAGACATCCTCTGCTGTGAACCGGTGGTGTTTCCCGTAGAAGAAGAGTCTGTCGTTCTCCCAGATGTCATGGTCCCTCGGGAGCTTGTCGCCGGGCTCGTAATCATAGTCTTTGTGCTCTTCCCCATCGTCAGATGATTGGTCGTCGACTGTCTCACGTTCAAACACACACGTCAAACCGCGAGGGGACACGGTGTATCTATGATGACTGCCTTCACCTTCATCTTCACCATGTGCCACCACCCGAGGAAGCGGCATGGACTTGAAATCAAAGGTTTCGGAGTCACTCAGCTCCTCCATGTCTTTAGCGTCGAAAGGGTCCTCCTCGTCAAACTGCGCCTTGTAGTTCTCGAGGGTCAGTGGTTAACCCATCACAAAGAAAACATGCTCTAGCCTTTTCAGAAAATTCGACACAGACTCCCTGGGTGCACAGTGGTAACCATTCAACACACCGAACACCAGGTTCCTCCGTCGATTGTATTCGAGGTCCGTCTGGGCAGGTGGTCCACGTTGGAAAAGGAACTCCCAAACCTCCATCCTTTTGTTCTCCGGCAATTTCCAGTACATATCCCCGTCGTCAGACGATTGGTTGTCGACTGTCTCGCGTTCAAACACACGTATCAAACTGTGAGGGGACACGGTGTAATTTGACGACCGCCTTCACCTTCATCTTCACCTTGTGCCACCACCCGAGGAAGCGACATGGACTCGAAATCGAAGGTTTCGGAGTCGCTCAGCTCCTCCATGTCTTCAGCGTCGAAAGGGTCCTCCTCGCCAAACTGCGCCTTGTAGTTCTCAAGGGTCAGTGGTTCACCCATCACGAAGAAAACATGCTTTAGCCTTTTCAGAAAATTTGACACAGACTCCCCGGGTGCACCGTGGTAACCATTCAACACACCGAACACCAGGTTCCTCCGTCGATTGTATTCCAAGTCCGTCTGGGCAGGCGGTCCACGTTGGAAAACGAACTCCCAAACCTCCATCCTTTTGTTCTCCGCCGAATCTCCGGCAATTTCCAGTACATATCACGTTTGGGATCCCAGTTCCGCTCTCCGGTAATTGATCATCTTCACCTCGTCCTCCACCACAACGACGCTCCGACCGCTACGCAGCAGCTCCCACACGATAGATGCGTGCACTTTCCCAAAGAGAAAACAGTTTGCCGAACTCTGCAAAAGTTTTTGAGCAGCCCGATCAGATGAGCTGGCTTGTGTTCCCTGTCCCCGTAAGCAGCTCCCCGAACACTTGTCACGCCGCCGTCCTCCCACTGGCTACGAGGGAACCTGTCCTCGTTTGCGACGTCGAAACAAGCCACAACCTGCCTTGACGGGTCGAGAGAATTGGCAACTTTCGAGCGCGCCACCACCGCGGATTTGGACGGACTTGGACCTTGAGCACGTGGAGGCTTTGATGGACTACTGGCCGGGAAGACTGCCACAGTCTTGTATGCCAGGTTCTCGCCATTGAAAACCACGTACAGACGATTGTGCTCCTCGACCAGCATATTGCCTTCCCGGACAGTGGCCTTTCCCTGCGTGTGGCGCACCCACTTCCTTGTCCTAACGTGATGAACTCTTAGCTTCGCCAGACCTTTCAAGAAACAAAGTTCCCAACAAGAGGGGAAGAACACCACAAGTGCCTAGTGCCTTGGCGACAGGGTTTGCAGAACGCCTTGCAAGGAGGCGAAATCGTCTTCTTGCCAATCTGAAAGGAGTGTCGGATCACACAAATCGAGGACGTACAAGTTGCAAACGTAATACCGCACAATCTCACGGATCTCTGTCAGACGAATGTGATCTTGGGAAGGAGGACAACCGAAAGGGATAAGGCTGGTCACCCGGTTGAGCTTGTGTCATTTGATGTGCCTCACATCCCCGCTGACCCGGATTGTGTCTTGCACCTCTTCCTCCGTTCGTCGCAAGATGGAGCGAACGGACTTCTTGAAAGATTTGGGGAACCTGTCATCATCGTACATTTTCTTCGTCTCTTCCAGGGACTCCTCGTACGGAAGACACCGTTTGCACGTGTTCACGTACTCCACCGAGCCCTGGAAATGCTTCCTCAGCTCGACCCACACCTCTTCCGTGAGACCCTGCAGCGCAAACTCCGCCAGAAGCTCCTCCGCATTGCGCCAGACCCCCGCGTCCTCCTCTTATTCAAGGAACAAGATGTAGTGAAACATGCGGAGCATCACTCGAATCAACTTTCCTCGTTGCTACCATGTCCTTAATGCCAGGCTTATGCTGTCGTCTCAGATCCTCGCCCACCGATTCCACGAAAAGTTAAAAACTCCTTTGAGCGCGAGAATATCCTCGAGGATCGATAGTTTCTCCGCATCGGTCATGCCAGCGAGACACTGCCAATAGAACATGTCTGGCTCCTTCACGACGACGAAGAACTTGTCGTCCATTTGCGTGTTCTTTTTGGTCGGAGGCGGCGGGACCCGGACCCGGGACCAACCATCCCATCTTCGTTTCACCAGCAGCCCCTTTCGCGCCCATCTCCGGAATCGCTTGAAGAGCCGAAGATTTGTCTGGCATGTATTTGCCATGCTTCGACAACGGCGTCTTCCCATCGCCGCCCAGCAACTTTCCTTCGGCCCATCTGCCGTAGAACTCCATGCCTTTGCGAAAAACCTCATCAACGACAGTAAAGAGCGGCATCCATTGCCTCAGCACGTTCCCAATAGCCGCAACCTTGTCCTTGTCGGCGAGCGTTGCTGGAACTTCTGCCATTCTCCAATGGGCGTCGTTTGGACTCTTCCCCAAAAACAACTTTTGGAAGTTGAAAAACCCTTGTTTTTCGGCCTCCTTACCGGAAGAGTTCCCTTGAATAGCCAGCAGCCTGCCTTTCTTCTCCCAGGCCTCCCGCATATCCTCGAAAGCGGCCTTTTGCGATCGCTGCTTAGACATTTTGTGTCTGGTGTTCTCCGCCACACTGACCTGCATATACCCCCCGAAGTCTTCGTCGGAGAACCACACGACTCTCGCTGGCCACGAGTGCATCTTCCACAATTCGAATATGGGATGACCGTCCAATTCTTTCACAACAGTCACGGTGTGTTATCCGTTGATAGGGTAATAGAAGTACTTGTCCTTGTCCTCAGGCCTGAAGTCATCCTTGCGAACCCTCCGAGCTGTCTCCGGGCGCTGCGTCACCGGCTTGTAGATGGGTGCCTAAACCAAAGGGTTTTTCGTCCATATTTTTCCCTTCTCCTCGCGGAACTGCCTCAGCATTGCGTTTTTGATGTCGTCGACATTATCGCGAGTGAGACTGCGGTGATTATAATCTCCCTCCCACGCCGGGATGTCGCAGACCCTCCTGGGTCGATGACCAGTTGAATCGGGGTCTCCTTCTCAACGATATCACCGCCGTCGTTTCGCTCGTATTCGAGCCAGAACGCTGCCGCTTCGTCGTACCGCTTGGCAACCACCCTCTCGCCACCACTCGCCCCCTCACCAGTCTTCCTCCTTCGACTTTTCTTCTGCTGATCGCCTTCTTCAACTACCAATTTCCGTTTTGATTTCTCGGAGGATTCCCTCGCGATGGGAACGCCTTCACGAGCCGAATCTCTTTCACCCTCAGCTTGTCGCTCGCCGATGGTCAAACCGCCGGCCGTCTTCGTTTTTTTGACTGCCTCTTTCTGACATCTTCTTGTCCTCCACGCATCCTTGGCGTCTTTTTTCCGATGCCATGTCCCACGACGCCACCTTCATCCCTGCCAGTCACAGGCTCCGATGATCCTTTCAACCTCTTCATGTGTCTGGTTTGTTTTGCCACCTCTTCTCGCACCCTCCGCTGTCACCCGCGATTCTGCTTCGAAGAAGACGGCTCCCCGCCAGAGATGTCGAGCACAACGCCCATCCCTCCAACCCCAATCCCTCCAAGTTCTTGCCCTGAACTGCCGGATTGTCCTCAAAGCGAAAACGTGTCACCCTGAAAGACAAACGTGAGGATTTTCGGTGTCGCAACCCGGTGAGTCCCTGCATCTGGAGAAGTCAAGCCAGACGCGCTCCCATGAGCAGCCGGGCCGACCGGCGTCTGACTCCCACCCGCCGGACCCATGCCCCAACCCTTAGTGTCGAGAATGATACTCCCATGCCCCACGTTCGTCACAAGGGTTTCCCGAGGTGAGCTGAAAGACCCCTCGTAGGCTGTCAGATGCCGAAAAACATAATCTCGAGGAAGAATAGGACGCTCTTTCGGCACCTTCAGCGCAAGATCGAGATAGTCCACAGGAGGTGGAAGAGGCCTGCTTTGGGCATCGTAAAGCCCTTTGAAGTGACGGTAGAGCAGCATGTTCGAGTTGTACCCAGTGAAAGTCTTGACCGACACTATCACACCCTTAACACCTTTGAAAGGCAGTCTGCAGTGGTCGTACAAGATGTTAGTCTGCAGCTTGAGCAAGCCTCCAGACTGTTTGCAGAACGCGGTGATGGTACCGAGAGGATAAACGTCGGTTCCTCCCACAACTTCCGGAATGGGAGGGCCCCACATGAAAACAGTTGGCCCGACAAGCTCCCGGACGACAACGAAATCCAGAAACCATGGTGCATCCCTCGAATGAAAATATGGAGTAGATTGCGGCAAATTTTGTCCCTCCCCGGGGGCTGACGGACCAGCGCTTGTCGATGTGTTCTTCGCGGACACCATTTCACTCCCAATGCGAAACCAATACGCACAACCCTGGACATAATTGTATGATCGGAAGAAAGTGACGACGTTCTTCTAAAAGTTGCGGGAACGAAAACAACACCACTGTGGCGGAGCGAGTTAGGAGGAAAAAACTTAGGAATCATGGAGATGATGAGAAAAACGGCTTGTCTAGGCTGAAGTTCGAACTAACTCGCAGTTCTGGAAACGAAGAGCTCTACAACACGCACGGTGTCCGAGAAATGCGAACTAACTCACAATAATGGAGAAAAGACAACAATTCGAGCTCGCTGTTCCAGGAACGAGGAGCTGGCGACGCCTCGCGTTTAACGAAGACACAGCTTGTCACGAAAAAAGTGCAAACTAACTTGGAGTTGTCGAAATGAAGACCTGAAACACGCACGACACGCATGTCGACAAGTGCGAACTGACTCGTAGTTGTGGATACGAAGGGCAACGACTCTCACTTCTAGAAATGAAGACCTTGCTTTCAGAAACGAGGTGTCTGGAGACGAGCAAACCAATGTGGAGTTCCGCAGACGAGAACCTAAAACATATCCCAGTACGTGTCGCGAAAAAGCGAACTAACTCGGAGTTCTGGATACGCAGGGCTAGAACTGCTACAACACCTTGGTCGCAAAGTGCGAACTAACTCGCATTTGTGGGTCAGTTTCGACGTC